GGGACAAACATCAATCATTCAACCTGACTATGTTGGTTGCCACTCAGGCATACCCCTCCCACTTTTTTGAGTGACAGTGACAAGGACACTGACAAGGACAGTAGCAGAGTCCACAGGAGCTTCCAAGGTGCCTGCAGATGGACACGTAACCAGCTGGGGGCGACATGCCTCTGGTGGATTTTCTTGTGGGAATTTCAGTCAGGAAACCCCTGATGACACCAAGTCATTCTAGAAGGCACTGGTCCCTGACACAGTGCTCAAGTCTCAGCCACTGTGTCTGAACAGGAACAAGAGAGTTCCTGTTACTCACAAACCTGTATTATAACCAAGCATCTTCTTCCTCTAAAATGCTCTACGCACAGAAAACTCAGAGCATCTTTGTCCCTTTAATTTCTCTGTCCACATACCTTGCTCAGGTTACTTGTAATAAGTCAGAAAGGGACAGGACCAGATAAAGATAGCGTCAAATTTAAAGGACAGTCTTCTTCCAGTTAGGTAGTAATGTGGATAATAAACACCTGACCGAGCCCAACCACAGCTCTAGGGCCTCTGGGACTGTGACCAACATGGACTGGAGCCCTCTCCTCCTCATGAACTGCTCTCACTGCACCGTTAGTACAAGCACTGGAGCAACAGGGAAGCCCCCCAAGCTGTGTGGGCTGCCCTCATCTAATCCCTTATCAGATGCCAGTTGCCCCATATCCATTAGGAATATGTGACTTTGTTGTAGGTTACGTGTCCCAGCTGTGATGACCCAGCCATCCTCCCTCTCTGTATCTCCAGTGACAATGGCCAGACAACTGCACCCTGAGCAGTGGCTTCAGTTTTAGTGACCACAACATATACTGGTTCCAGCGGAAGCCAGGGAACCCTCCCCAGTTTCTCCTATGTTTCTACTCAGACTTAAATAAGGACGAGGGCTCTGGGTTCCCCAGCCAATGCTCTGGCTCCAGTAATGCCTTGGCCAATGCAGTGCCTCTGCTCATCTCTGGGCTGTAGCCTGAGGACAAGGCTGATGATTACTGTGCTACAGCTCAAGGCAGAATGGGTAGCTATCATTCCTCAGTGTCTCAGATAAGGAGGAAGTGGGTCAAAAACCTTTGGGCCAACAGATATTGTCTCTGAGCCTCTTTTCAATAAGAAACCTACCCATAGAGACATACTGGGGTGGTCTCTTCAGCACGATGATCTATCTTACAACAGGATAAAAGGAACAGTCATATGATGCACATAAAGTGAGACAAAAGGGGCCATTCCAGGAATATGCACACAGATGAGCTATCAGAGACCATATGCACAAAACCACTAAATCTGGAGAAGATGAAGAGGAATAAATTCTGTGTCTACCAGTGATCATGCTGCCCAGTGGACATTTATCCACAGTCCATTCTATCATCTGATTCCATAAAGTGTTATCTTGTGTCACTGCTGATATATCCACAGCTGATATATTGACAGTAATCCTGGTCACAGGCCCATTGTCTTCTATCTGAACCAGCTACACATAAACTTGGACCAGGTCCTATAGACACTCACTGACAACATTCCTCACACCCTCCCTCCTCTTCTCCCCTTTGCTCTTACATCCTAAGGCTTCACTCTCTCCCTCTGTCTCTTAAGTTTGAGCTCTATCTTTATATAAGTATTTTATTTTATTTTATGTAAAGATTATTTATTTATTTATTTATTTATTTACAAGGAGTGAGACAGCAAGAGAGAGAACACAAACAGGGAGAGTGGGAGATGGAAGAGGAGGCTTCCTGCTGAGCCGTGAGCCCCTGATGTGGTTATGGATCTCAGGACTCTGGGATCATGACCTGAGACAAATCTAGAGTTGGAATCAAAACCTCATGTGCCCTTCTGGAGCCCCCAGGTCTCTCTCTTTAATAGAAAATTAAGGGTGCCTGTGTGGTTCAGTGGGTTAAGCCTCCTTCTTCCGTTCAGTTTATGATATCAGGGTTCTGGGATCAAGCCCAGCATCAGGTTTTCTGCTCTACAGGGAGCCTGCTTCCACCTCTCTCTCTGCCTGCCTCTCTACCTACTTGTGATCTCTTTATCTCTCTCTCTGGCAAATAAATAAATAAAATCTTTACAATAATATATAAAAATAATATTATTACATTTTCAGATAAGGATATATTCATCTACATTTAGGTATTTGCATGTGTGATCTATTGTTTCATACTGACTTCATAATTACCTGATGTCCCCATCCATGGGGAGTCTTGGAGGTATTCACAGACAAGGATCACATGTATATTTTTAGATATATCATTATTTCCCTTATGCTCCAGATACTCATTCCTAAGAACTCTCTGGACAGTAATTCCACCACAGAAATATATTTCTACAATTCATGAATTCCCAGGCTCTAGTGGTTTTTCACAAAGGCACAAAACCATCAACAATATCTTGTTCTTACACCCTGGTAGATACCTGGGGATACGGAGAACTATGGGTCTGGCTTGGAGGTGGGAGCATAAAGGTGAGATGTGTGTTCCCCCCACCACCCAGGGCTTCCAGACACCCACAAACCCCACAGTTGTAGATCTTGTGTCTGCAGAGATAAACTTCAACATGTTTCTTGTCACTCAACAAGACAAGGATGCCTAATTCAGTGAATTGTTAATAGGTTTGCTATCACATGAGTCCTTCTGGCCTAAGTAAATCCTTTTCTGGTAAAATTCTAGGAGATATTTACCTGTAAATGAATGATCAGGACCCTAGTGTTTTATAAAAAGAATCTCCATGGGGAAACATCCTTCAGGGTGTTTCAAAGTCACAAGGGAGAAAGAATTTACATAGCCTCCTATTTGGTCTCACACACACACACACACACACACACACACACACACACACACCTCTTCTCCCTCTGAGTGAAGAGTGTGTCTGGGACTCCTCTGCAGTCTCCAGGTTCTCTGTTCTTCCAGAGGCTAGGGGCATTCTCTGTTCACCCAGCCATTTTCATTGTTCCAATCTCCAGAAGTCAAAATCCTCTTCAACAGGAAACATGGACACAGCATGTGAAACTTGGGTCCTGTTACCATGGCAGCCAGGATGGAGTCTGAGCATCAGCTCTCCTGGGATGAAGCTGATGTTCACGAATCCTTGCAGAAGTCTCTGTTCCCATGGACAGCTCATCCCCTGACCATCTGTGGGCTCCAGTCAGTGCCTGAAAGTTACCAGTACATTGATTCTGGGCAGAAGCCTTATTATTGCTCCTCTAGAGCTCAAGGCCTATGGGGGACATGAGACGCACTCTCCCTGTGCTCTCATGCCTGGACATTCTATCTGTCGGTCACCCAGTGACATCTCCAGCCAGGTTGCACTCTACTGAAATGTTCTGTATCTCAATCCAGGGCCACAGAACCTGTCATCATGGGGACACCATCCCACTTATTGCCACAACACTTCCACTCAGATTTGGGATATTTGACAGAAACATCTGGCTCCACTTGGCCTTATGTTGTAAAACTCATTCCTGTAGTTATGGATGAATGAATAATGGGTCCATCCTGAACATCCTGGAACCAGCTGCAGGGCCTAGAGCTGCGTCTACCCCAGAGAGTGGTCTGACCCCAAATCCCTCTGTCCTTGAAGCTATGTCTTTGTTTGGTAATTTTGTCAGAATGATTGTTCTGAGTTCATAGAAACAGGCTACTCAAGGGGTTTCATTGGGCATAATGTTGGCCTTTCCTATGTGGGAGAGCAAACACATGATACAAATAAGGGATTTTAGAAAAGATGTATAAACACCTATTTCTCCTGAGAACAGAAGACATTCCTAATCCACTGTTTTCTATCCATGTGTTTAACCACTCATTCAACCCACATTCTCTCTGCAATAAGTAGTGATCTGGGGAAAGTACACTACTGATAGTCCCTGCGTCTTCCCAATGACATTGCCATTGAGTTTAAATCAATCTTACTGAATGGAATTATGCATAAAATAACACATCCATTTTAAATATGAGGTTGACACTGTGGTGACTCAAAATGAACTCTTTCACTAGGTCCCTGTCTGAACACCTGCAGTTGTCATTTCTTTCTTCTTAGAACTTTCATCAGGTTTGCTCTTTGTCCTCTGAGATCAGTGCCACCCACCGCCTCACAGTGCCACCCACAGCCTCCTGCAGACAACTGCCTGTGCTGGAAGGACAGATCCTAGGAGGGAGTCACTGCCCCAGTTGTGTGTGAACTGTAGTTTCAAGAAGGTGAAAAGAATGACAGGTGACAAAGATGTTCAGTGTATTTCCCTGTAGGAATACATGTGAGAGATTCTACCCACAACCGGGAGAGAACCATTCCCTGTCTCTTCAATTTTGTGGGATCCTCAGAGGATGGAGAGCTCTGAACAACAGGGAGAAGGCACATAGGAGGAAAGTCCCAGCCTCCTGCACAGAAAAGACTCCGTGTTCCTGGGGACCTGGCACTGCTCTGGACTAGATCCTGATCTAGAGAAATTTGTTATAGGCAGCATTTCAATACTGATCCAGGGACAGAGAAGGGTGCCATGGACAAAGTCCCTCTGAACACTCCTAGTAGGGCATACATTGAGTCCTGACTTAATGGGAGTTGACATGTAGGGACAGCAAGTCAAGCCCTAATTCAGGGAACGTGGACAAAACAGTTTGTGGGATGTGAAGATGTGTCTGATGGGCTCTGGTCACCTTGTCACACAATGGTGCGTCTGTCTATGGACAGCAGGGGGCAATCTGGTCCCATTTCTGAGGTTCAAGGGGGATCAGGGCTGGTACCAGCTACCTGGCACTGCCTGTGCCCTCTACTCAGGACTCACTCCTCTATCCTCCCCACTTTCTGACCCCACACAGCTCCTCCCTTGCCCAGCCTCCTGACATATTGAAGCAAGGAGGGATCAGACACAGAGCTAGGGAGTCATCAGGAACTGGGGTTTTATTTGCATAGACAGTCCTACCCTCTCTCAGAGGATAAAGAGGGGAAGGGACAGATGAGAATGTCTGCTGAGTTGTGGCATCATAGACAGCAAGACCAGTGGTGACCTCCACCATGGCCTGGCCCCATCTCTTCCTTACCCTCCTTGCTCACTGCACTGGTATGTGGATGTAGGGACAAGGGAAGGGACCTTGGGAGGATATGTGACTGTTTCTTCTCCTGTGTTCAGACTCCAATATCACCCTATCTGTGTCTCTACTCTTTCCAGGGTCCTGGGCCCAGTCTGTGCTGATACAGCCACCTTCTGTGTCCGGGGCTCTGGGCCAGAAGGTCACCATCTCCTGCACTGGAAGCAGCTCCAACATTGGGAATGGTTATTATGTGAGCTGGTACCAACAGCTCCCAGGAACAGCACCCAGAATGATCATCTATGCTAATAACAATCGACCCTCGGGGGTCCCTGAGCGATTCTCTGGCTCCAAGTCTGGAAGCTCAGCCACCCTGACCATCACTGGGCTCCAAGCTGAGGATGGGGCTGAATATTACTGCCAGTCCTATGACAGGAGCCTCAGTGCTCACACAGTGCCCCAGGACCGTGGGGAAGTGAGACAAAAACCTACTGTTCTCCAGCGCTGGGTTTCGCTTTGCAGCTCCCACTCCTTGGCCAAGTCAGTCCTTTCCTTTGTTTGGTCTAAATTAAAGCTGTAGACCAATCTCAAGGAAGATTGCCTACAAAATCATCCCCATTCTCTTAAATTCAGCCTCTCACGCCTGTCCTTGGCAGGAACACATTGTACAGTTTTCCCATATTTTGGAGAATTTTGTGGGTGCCAGGGACAGGCTCCCCTAGTAACATAGTCTGCTGCTGAAGAAAACAAAGGCAGGAGAAATGTAGCTTAAATTAATCTCCTTACAGCTTGCAGCCCACTCGTAGATACCTGACACATGCAGAATGTGACCTTCCTGAAGGAACTCATGGTTGCCTCAGTGCATTAGTTTTTGGGTTTTATGAAAGATTAAAACTAATCTTATCTTCACAGCAACTAGGCCTTTAATTCCTGAAAGCCCTGCTTCCTAATCCCTTAGAGACTTAGGCTATCCCTAACCTCCACTAAATAAAATATATGTAATCAATCACTCCTTACAGTCTCAGTGAAGATTTCTATCCATGGTTCCTGTCCCCATGCTATAATAAAATCATCTTTTTTCAACATTAAATGTCTAAAGAATTTCAGTTTCATTTGCTTTTAACTTCAAATAATGTTCATGCCGAAGTCACCCATCTTGGGGAAACCTATCCTTGACAAGTTCGTCCCTCCTCTGAAACTTTCCAATATTATACATATTAAAAGTTGGAATAGAAGATTTTTCATTTTTTTACAGTGTCCTGACAACAGGCCAGTTTCATTAAACTCATTTCAGGAGGGGGTGATGCTGGTGTGTTCTCAAAGTAAGGCCTGTGGTTCAAGAAATCAGGTATTAAATAACAGTTATTTCTATGGATATAAACTAAAATGATGGTTAATGTTTGCAACAAATTGTAAAGCAGTTTCTGAGTTCTGAGGGTAGCCATGTGAGAAGACTTCTTGAAGTCAAAGACAAACCATCTCCAGATAGATTGACAGCAGGCTGTGACAATCTGACAGACTCTCCTGGTTTGCAGCTCAAGTGTGTCTGGTGACCTCTGAGTGGCCCACAGAGCAATAGGCATGAAGACTGTCTCTATGTGAGATGCTGTGGTGATTACTCTGAGGTTTACATCATATTGTTTGTATTTATTTTTCAAGAGTTCAGGGTAAAGGACAGATTGAGTCCTACTCAGAAAAGTGGGAGAAAATTCAACATGCTGGCTTAAAGGTCTGTAGCCAGATATTGTAGGATGCTAGAGAAAATCAGGATTTAGTCCAGATCATAATGAACAGTATTTGAATCAAGTGTTCACTCAGGTGTGTTATTGAAACATATGAATTGTTTCTACTTTCACCCTCATTTCTTTTCAATATAGCCAAATTAGCATTATTTTTCTCACCAAATAGTTGTAAATTCATAAATAATTCGGTCTGATTATTTACATACCTGCAGCGAGAGTAGCAGTTGACCATATAGGCTCCTTAAAACCTGCTTCACTGGAACATTTGTAAGAAACTTCTAGACTGAACATTTAACAGCCCATCCAGGGCAGAGACCAAGTGAACACTTGTTTCAGAAACTTGCCATCAGACTTAACCGGCAACACCTATAGACCTGGGGAAATTCTCTGTCTTGTAAAACCAAATATATCCTAAGTTCCCCACACCTGCCAGGACATGACCTATTTTTTTAAGATTTTTAAAAAATTTATTTATTTGAGCGAGAGAATGAGAGAGAAAGAGAGAACACAGAAGTAAGAGAAGGTGTGGAGAAAGAGGAAGTGGTAGAATCCCCGCTTGGCAGAAAGATGGAAACAGGGCTTGTTCGCAGGACACAGGGATGAAGACATGAGCAGTTTGCTGAGGTTTAACTAACTGAGCCAGCTGGTGCCATGGTACATGACCTTCTTGACTCACCTGGTAAATCTGCTGGAAACCTTATAAGCAGGTAGCAGGCTAATACTTCCAAGTGGCTCTATTCTCTCCATAAAGTCAGTATTAGGGCCTTAAAGCTTTCTGGTCATATCTGAAGATAGATATTTACATATCTCTTTCAAATATGAATTTTTTTTCAATGTCTTGGAAATGTAAAAAGTGATATATATATATAGAGGAGGGAGGCAAGATGGCAGAGAAGTACTATACCCTGTTTCAACCTGCTCACTAAAGTGAGCTCTATATCTACCAGAACACTCTGAAAACCAAGGAAACCAGCCTGAGATGTCAGGTTATACACTTTGGTTCTCTATGGGTACAGAAGACATCTGTGGAGAAGTAAAGCAGAGTGGGAAGGCTTGGACTGATATCAGATGATAAACAGAAGGGGGAGGGAGCCACCAGAAGTGACCCATTCAAAAGTGCCCTGTGACTGGAGGCAAGAATTATCTTGGAGTATGGATAAAGGCATTCATGAAGAGCAAAAGATCTTAAGGGGTAACTGGTGGAATTGGGCAGTCAAAGGCATGGGCCTAAGCCCATGAACCCAATACGGTCACTTTTGGTGACCACACATGTCAGTGAGAGTCCAGCCGATCCTCCTGTCCATCGTCCCTGGGCCTGCGTATTTCTACTGCTTGCATCACCACTTGGCTGGGTGCATCCCCATCCACACCCGAAAGAACTTGGAGTGGGCATTGGCCAACATTCTCTAGGACCACAGCCCTCTACAACCAGCAAGGGTCTGAATGCTCCCAGCATGCAACTGAGAGAACCAGGCACAATCTTTGATTGGGATCCCTCAGCAACATCCTTCCACAACCTGCATACTATGGGGCCTGGGTGCACCCGGTGTGGGTCTGGACTCCAGACAGCAGTCCCAGCAAAGGCAGATATGGGAAGTTGGCTCCGCAGACCAATATGTCTCACAGTTTTAGTGGAACAGGGGTGCGGAGACAAGTGGGCACCTCAGGGGACAATTGAGACAGTGACTGGTTGTGCGTACCACCTGTGGGAGGTTGTGCTGTTCAGCAGAGTTTACAGGGGGATGGTCCATGTGTTCTGAATGACCTGAGGGTATCAGACTGAGGCTTCTTTCTGAAATGGAGGTCTGGGAGCAGACAGGTGGCCCTCCACTAAACTTCCAAAAAGCCACAAAAACCCACCAAAGAACAAAAGCTCCACAGAACAAATGCCTGAAAAAACAGTTTTCACAGAGCCCAGCCCCTTGATAACCTGCAGGGCAACTCAACCCAAGCAAAACTGACAGGAGAACAATACAGTAGGTTCTTTCCCCAGAAGGCAAGCCCAAAGAATGAGAGGACAACCACCACAAGGTCCCCATAAAACTGTAAAATCCAAGCATCAGGGGAAAACAATATATTAAGCTCATGGTATTGCCCTGAAAACTGTATATTTCAAAGATAGATTTTTTAATTCATTCTCATCATTCTTGTTCTTTTAATTTTTTAACCTACTTACCATTACAACTAGAGGATTAGTACATGTTTGTAATAGCCTTTTTTTTATAATTTTATTTTTTTTCAGCATAACAGTATTCCTTGTTTTTGCACCACACCCAGTGCTCCATGCAATCCGTGCCCTTTCCAATACCCATCACCTGGTTCCCCAAACCTCCCACCCCCCACTGCTTCAAACCCCTCAGATTGTTTTTCAGAGTCCATAGTCTCTCATGGTTCACCTCCCCTTCTAATTAATGTTTCATTTATTTTTATTTGACAGACAGAGATTACAAGTAGTCAGAGAGGCAGACAGAGAGAGAGGATGAAGGAGGCTCCCCACTGAGCAGAAAGCCCAATGTGGGACTCGATCCATGACCTTGGGATCATGACCTGACCTGAAAGAAAAGTCTTTAACCCACTGAACCACGCAGGTGCCCATTCATAATAACCTTTTAAGTTGAACTTTTTTTCATATATATATCTGTATTTTTTTCTTTTTTTTTTCTTAATACAGATATAGATTCAAGCTCAAGGTAATCCTTTTTTCCCTATTCAATACTATATATATATATATATATATATATACACCATTATATACAAAAATATAAAAGTTTTAATCTCCATTTATCTCTGGTAAGTTGAGTCATTTAAGAAAGATATAATAATATACACCCAGGAACAACCAATAACCTTCACCCACAACAAGGATTTATAACCAACCTTCCATCTTATTCTTCTTTCAGTGTTTCTGGGTATTTGTTTTTGTTCTGGTATTATATAAATCTTATTATTGGTGTTCACTTTGGCTGAGTTCTTTTTTTTTTTCCTACTCATTAACTGTTCTTTGTCTTTTTCTTTGTTCATTTTTATTTATATACCTTATAGATCATACTTAGGGGGCTCATATTGACTAGGTTTTCTTTTCTTTCCTTTTTTTTTCTCTTCCTCTCTCTATTTTTTTTCTTTTTTCTTTCTTTTTGGTGGTGATTTCCGATTGCTCTGAAACATACCAGGGTGCACCTTGCCTGGATGGTGGTTGATATATTCAGCTATATATACCCTCAACCACTTCTCACCAAAATGACTATTAGGAGGAACACCCAACAGAGGAAAAATTCAGAGGCAGTGTCCACTCCATCAGAACTATTGGATATGGACATAAACAGTATGTTGGAAATGGAACTCAGGGTAACAATTATCCAGTCAATGGCTAGGTTGGAGAAAACCATTAGTGACAACATAGAATCTCTAATGGTGAAAGTGAGAGCTGACCTAGCAGAAGTTAATGCTATCAGTGAGATCTAATCTAATCTAAATACTCTGACAGCTAGGGTAACTGAGGCAGAAGATAGAATTAGTCATCTTGAGGACAAACTTATAGAGAAAAAGGATCAGAGGAGGCCTGGAACAAACAGCTTAGAAACCATGAAAACAGAATTAGGGAAATACATGATGACATGAAACGTTCCAGCATCAAAATTATTTGGATCCCTGTGGGGGTGGAGAAAGTCAGAAGACTAGAAGATATAGTTGAACAAATTCTGGATGAAAATTTCCCCAGTCTGGGGAATGGAACAAGTGTTCATGTCCTAGAGACATAAAGGACATCCACCAAGATCAATGGATCTAGAAAGAAGTCAAAGCACTTGATTTGAAACTCACACATCATAATTTTAGACAA